CTGTGGGTTATGGGCCCAGATATGGGATGAGAAGGAAGAAGGGATTCTCTACTTTCGCGACGTTTATGAACAGAGCAGTGAACGCCTTTTTAAGTTACAGGGCATCTTGACATTTGAAATTAACTCTTTGTTAGCGCGAAGCTTATATGCTCAATATTGAAATCTGGGAGCAGTTCGAAGACTGCTCCTTTCAACGGTCACGTAAAAACCTACACCAATGAGCAATCAGTTTGCGAAATTATAATCCTCGCATAGCATGCCCGGACGGGTACTGTTTTTTTTTTTGCCAGTGCCGACGTAATCACGTCATGTAAGTGACAGAGCAATCAGATATTGATCGCTACAGGTTTAAGGAAGCACATGTTCGGACAGCTGTCTTTGTTGTGCACGGGTGTTCGAAGCAAGCATGCAACAGGTGAAAGTATGTTTTACAGTGTCACATCTTTGTTTCATCGATGAACCCTTTGAAGGTTTTGGAGGATGCTAAGCTCCCAATGTTCCGGGGCTTTAACCTCGGGTCTGTAAATGGTTCCACTGAGGAATCGTTTCCCTTCGCTTAAAGGATATCAAATACCCACCGTTCAAGAGCTTTCATACGGAACGTACAAACGATGCATTTAAATAACGTCAAATGCAGTTGGTTTCTAACAGGTTTGAAAATTTTACCTCTTTCAAACCATCACGAAAACACGAGGACCGCTTACAGCGACATTCTTGCACATATGAGCCTCCAGATGGCGTGGGTATGGGGTGTTAATCTTGCACCATCTCGCTAATACAAAAGATAAGAAGTAGCCCTGTCAGAGGAGTGGAAGGAATGGAAGATGCGCCATCAATGGCCCTGATTAACTTGGGAATGGAGATCGAAGGTGCCTTTGGAATGCCAAAACTCCGTAGCAGAGTGGCGCAGTGGAAGCGTGCTGGGCCCATAACCCAGAGGTCCGTGGATCGAAACCACGCTCTGCTAGGAGTGCGGTTTTGTCAGCAGTCCGTGCTCACAATTGCTCGGTCGCACGCTGGATCATCAGTTCGGCCAGTTGCTGAGCAGGCGCATTAAAAAGGCGAATGGCGCCTCCTCAGCACCTTGCAGAGCATACCTTGCACTTTGCACCTTGGGTGTCCGCGGCGTGCGCGTGGGTACGCGCAGACATCCATTCGGAAACTGTTTTGGAAAAACCATTGGGGGTCAATTTGGCCCCCACCCGAGCACGTGTTCATGCACGCAGGTCCCTGGAGCGATGCTGTGCTTCCTTCATTCAGATAAAAGTGAATAAAAGTTGCGTAACTTTTTTGAGCATGCGCACTAGCAAGTATTAGAAACAAATAGCAAAAAATTCAAAATAAGCACCAGAAACTGCCACACACAGCAAGCTCTAGAGTCATAAAGCAGACTGGCTTTGACATTGGTCTAACCTTCATACCTGACCTTAGGTTAATGGAATTTGTCCATTTAACTGTTGCGTTGCCTAAGGAAATGTCTCAGAAATTGTGACTGTCTTTGACGCTCCGTCGTTGCATCAGATTGAACGATTCCCTAGAAATTGACTTTGCTGGATCTATGACCTGCCGCAGGCCAGCGACTTTACAAGGTAAGTCTAGATCTTTGATACCAAACGATTCGTTATGAAACTGTCTAGAGCTGTGCAAAATTCGGCGCCGTTATGTCCCGCCGCTCGGAAACTATTTTGGAAGAACCTTCGGGGGTTAATTTGGCCCCAACCCGAGCGCGCGTTAATGCACACAAGCCCCTGGAGTGATGCTGTGCTTCCTTCATTCAGATTAAAGGGGATACAAAGTTGTGTTACTTTTTGAGCGTGCGCACTCGCAAGTATTAGAAAGAAAGGGCCAGGCGTGTGACGATGTATCCTCTACAGACCGCGCGACATCGGCCTCGTCGCTAACATCAGATGAAAGCCAACGAGCGGACGGAATCATCAAAAGCCTGAGAAAAGCACCTTAACGCGTCATACATCAATTCATAGTTTAGCAGGTAGTTCGCGCTGTACGTTTTACCCGCGCGATTTTCAGGTTGATGATGCGAACGGATTCGCAATTTCCAACACTGCAAACTCCTTGCGTAAGGGAGGAATCTCTATTTTTCGTGTTGCTGTAACTGTTCGAATTTTGCCGCTAAGATATACGCCCCTGTTGAGATTTTGAAGGCTACGAAAAGATTTTAAAACAGTTTCGGAAAAACAATTCACGATAGATGGTCGCTTCGGCGTGTCCGGCGCCCGCCGCCCGGCGCCAGCTAGAGCGGCTAAGACCACTAGGTTTGACGAGCGCCCAGGCTTATAAAATATTGGGGCTTCGGAGCTTCCATCGCGCAGAGCTTAGAGGCTCAGACACAGCTAGTTTCACTACTCTGCTCTGGTGAAGAACAGAGTCCTCAAACAAACAGCGCTACCCGTGACACACGAATCTTTGACCATGTTTCGATTCACGCCACTGCAAAACTAAGGAGACCTTTACCTTTTACGTGTCAGGGGCTCTGTGGATAGAACGCTAGGTCGAGGAGGGAGAGACACGTAATCTTCCTATCAGGGGCTGAAGAGCTCCTCCATTCTAGCCCGGACCTCGGAGTGCCTTCTGGCTGTCCTTCTGACGAAACGAGGGCCGATGTCCCTTGGTTCATCCGGAGGCCCTCACAGAGGTGCGTAATGCATCGGGGCCCCTCCCTGATGCGAGATATCATCTAACCGGACCAAACTCCTCGAGACATTCGGTTGGAGCAGGCGACGCGATACCATGAGCAACGTGAAACATCATCATCAGAGTGGCGCAGTGCAAGCGTACTGAGCCCATAACCTAGAGGTCTGTGGATCGAAACCACGCTCTACTAGGCGGTTAGCGTTCTCAATATAGCTCGCATTTCGCTAGAACTAATGGGCGCCAATGTTTTAGATCTCGAGCAATAGATGTGGATCGTACTTCATTTCGGGAGTGACTTCGTTACAATTGGTCAGATCGCTTGTGCTGAAAGCGTTATCCCAAAGGAGACGCGGTCCCCACGGGTCTCCACCCTCGCCGACCACTTCTGCAGAATTCTAGACTTCTGGCTTCGCGCCCAGCACGCTGCCGATGCGTCACCCTGCTTACGTCTTATCCCACTGTCCACGGTGTGCTTGATGCTGACTTTATCCACGCTTCGCTTTGCATTGTAGATTTAATAAATCCAATGTATCAAACGTTTATCCAGTGTGAGGTTTGCCCGGTTCTCCCACCACCCCCAATACAGAATTGGTCCCAAACGAAAACATCACCGAAGTCCCTTCAGTGCTATTGCGGAGGTGTCGCCCTCCTTTTACACCCTAGATGGCACCTGATAGAAAGTAAAAAAATGGCACGCTAAGCTTCTTCCGGGCTCCATCCTCCCCACCCCACCCGTAGGACAATTCGACCTGTGCTCCTGTCTTATGGTCGTTCATCTACTCATTCAATGAAGCAAGAAGAGCAGTGATAAATATGAGCTCAAAGTTCTTATGCTGACTTAGATTCCGGCTTCGGCCGTGATCCTATTGACCCCTTATGGAAAGCGGAGCTTGGAACGCAAGGTATTGACGATAGCCGTTTTCACAATAAATTAATACGCTTTAATTAATCATCAGTTTAGAAGCTTTTGAATTCTTTTAAAAAATGTCCCTACCAGGCTGCATAATATACCGAGCATTGACAAGCAAAAGGATGCTGTCATGCTGTTTCGATTGCATGCAACAAGCAAACCACATGTACCTGAAAATAAGCCTTGTTACTATTGATACACTTTTTAAGTGAAAAATACTGCTCTAAACAGCACAATTCTCTGTTTAGCAGCTATGGTCCTCAATGCGTCATGGTTTGATTATGCCATGGCGCCTTGCACAACATTGATTGAGAGCCAATTGACGGCCGTTATATATGGAAATCACGCTCACGGACGCCAGGTATGAACGACTCGACAGTGATAATTTTCGTGGCCTTGATCGACGCATGGCTTATGGAATGACAGAATTTGAACGACATTATGACGTCATCAATGCAAGGTGGCTTTGAAATGCTTTCCCCAACATACCTTTTCCATTTTCGTGGGTATGTAGCCCAGAAATAAGAGGGGCTTAGGTCTTGAGGAGGTCAGAGTTGTGAACAGCACCGGTAAGTCCTCAGGATGGCTATTTCAGTTCAAAACCCCATAAAGATGTGCAAACACTCACTTTAAAAGAGATTCTTTATAGACATTTCTTCAGCTCACGCCGTTCGTTTACGCCAATTCTGGAACAATACTAGGACAACATTATTTTTAATTCACCCAAATTTTAGCATGCCGGCCGCCCCATTGTTAGATACATCGATTGTGTGCGGAACGAGGCGTACTTTTGAAGATCATTGTATACAAGGATCATTCATCTTTGATTATGTTAAGGTATGCAGGCCCTATGAGCTCTGTAAATACAGTAAGCGACCTCTGTAAGTGCTGTAAGTGAGCTCTGCAAGCACTGCACACCTATTAACAGGACGCTACAAGGACACAGAAGTTTGTTTTACCGCGTCTGCAACAGGGATGCAACGGACATTTTTATAAGCTTTGAAAAGTTTCGATATGAAGAGATCTGACATCATACCTGTCCATAAAAGCAAGATCTTGCTCATACGCAGCTAACCGCAATTTTATCAAATTATACGTCTTCACAAACAAACTTTAAATCTCTGAGAAATATTTATAGCCGAAAACCGCCAACTGAGTGTCCGTAGTTAGAAAATAGACGCTGTAAAGCTCTCGGGTGCAGTAATTATTTTGCGCAATACCATTACAAACAAGAATGCGGAAAGAATGAATCATTTTCATCTTCCGGGCTGCCTTTGGCACCCTGCAAATAACAAAATGGCCTGCTTTATCAAGCATTAAAACTGTGAGAGACCGAGTCGCATGCCACCATCCACACCAAACTTTACACCTAGTGATTCTCAAATCACCAGCCTGTGGCGTGGAGATGGCTCAGGCTTAGGAAGCGCTCGTGACATACCGATGGCACAGCCCTCCTTGTGAGACTGAGTCCAGCCGGCACAGCAGCGGTAGAGCGTGCGGACCTGAGGCACGAACATCTTCCGGTACCGGAACACGTGCTGTCCTCTGCAGAGCACACAAACCGGTACAGGCCCCGTTACACACAAGGCAAATATAATACGAAACATGCGCATGTTCATACAAGTCAGAATGGTCTTCACGAGTGGTCCTTTACGACAAGGGTTGCAGTGTGGCGAACGCGTGAGGGACACAATATATTAAAGTTTCGTGCTTTCTATGCCCACAGCACAATACGCGAAACGTTAAATTTCAAGACTTCTGTTGGACGCGATCCCCCGTTCCCCGCCGTGGCAAATGTTCTTTGCCAAGGCGCACGAGAATTCAAGCAAAAGACGTTGTTTTGAACTCTGAATAAACACACCTTCCTGCAGCGGTTAAAAATTTGATTTAGGGTTTGTCAGTTTATGACCTTTCAGTTTGCTTTCGTAAAAAGGATAGATGGTCAGCGCTGTGACAGTCCACTTAGACAAATATGCAGAGCCATCTGTTTGGAGTGAACGCTCTAATGTACGGGGTGGCATGATACTTTTATTCCGATGGCTAAGCCGGATCGGAGAAAATAATGGCAACATCGAGCCATAAATATCGTAAATCGGCTCAGCACGGCAACACACACGCCAGGCTGTTCAACGTAGCACATAAATCACGCACTCCGCTGCGGGCATATTCAAACTGTGGCGCATACAAATGATGCCGCGGTGCCAGCAAAAAATCCAGGCATAAGATGGCCATATCACTGTCTTCTTTTTACTTTACAATAAATCAGCAGAATCGCGGATGTGTATCGTTGCATATCCTATTTGGGTGTTAATATATATATATATATATATATATATATATATATATATATATATATATATATATATATGTGTGTGTGTGTGTGTGTGTGTGTGTGTGTGTGTGTGTGTGTGTGTGTGTGTGTGTGTGTGTGTGTGTGTGTGTGTGTGTGTGTGTGTGTGTGTGTGTGTGTGTGTGTGTGTGTGTGTGTGTGTGTGTGTGTGTGTGTGTGTGTGTGTGTGTGTGTGTGTGTGTGTGTGTGTGTGTGTGTGTGTGTGTGTGTGTGTGTGTGTGTGTGTGTGTGTGTGTGTGTGTGTGTGTGTGTGTGTGTGTGTGTGTGTGTGTGTGTGTGTGTGTGTGTGTGTGTGTGTGTGTGTGTGTGTGTGTGTGTGTGTGTGTGTGTGTGTGTGTACTTTACAGGCTGACACTTGTAAGCTATCCACTTCTTATAAACAGCAAAACCTCGAATTTCCAATCTTTCAAAATATTGAAAGCGCCATATTTCTATTTTGGTTCCCCAAGAATGCTTGGTTTCTAAAAAATACATTATCTGTATTACACTCATTACCATACTAGCCTGTTTGCTAGATTATTATACGATATTATGTGCACTACATTTGTATTCATAACATAAGTTGTATTGGTAAGACAAAAGTAAAAGCCTTATTCCTCGGAGAAACACCAGGAGAATGGAGATATAGATGGGTTGATATTTCGACAGCATGCCTTTATCGAAACAATAGCAGAAGCCTGTTATTGTTTCGCCAAAAGTATGTTGCCGAAATATTAACCCATGAACATCTCCATTCTCCTGGTTTTTCCGCAATGAATAAGGCCAGTACTACTGTCTTTTCTATGTGAATAATGTTTCTCGCTTATGCACTGAACGACATACATAATTTGTATTCATTGATTTGTACTTATTGATGACAGGCATATGTGTAGCTACAATGGCATGCCATGCATTTGTCATGCGGAGCTACTGTACACTATTTGCTTGTCATATGTGGGTTTGTGTATTCGTCGTTCCAGAACTTTTCCCGCACGAGGTGATCGATTCCCAAGCGGAACATTCCGTTCGAAAGGTCTCAGTCTCGTGTGTGACAGGTGCAGTGCTGATTGTGGTCGTCATGTGACACGTGGCTGGCGTGTGGCGAGGGCTATGTTATTTATTAGGCCCACAGGGATACCATTAGTCGCATTCGTTGGTGAAACAAGCGGGCCATCTTGTTTCATCTTGCATCTTCAACTGGATTTCGTATTTTCGCTTTTAAATTGCTGATTTGTGCTGACTGTGTGTGACTGATGTGCTGATTTGTGCGCTGGTGCATGAAATGTCGGATCGCTGACCGCCGACGATCACAGGAACTAGATGTGTAGATCATGCCTTACGTGACATTCGATGCCATCAGAACAAATGCAGGAGTGGTAATCAACTGGCTGTAAACGGAGGGAAACACAAACTAGATGGAAACATTGCCGCAGTGTTTAAGAAATCAAACGGCGACCGTGAAGACAACATGACTGGTTTGAAATTCCAATGAGCCAAAGAGCATCAGTCAATGACTAACCGAGAGCAGAACACAAGCCGTCGTTTGAATTTTACACGACGGCTCTGCACGTGGTACCATAAAAGGTAGGACCGGCTTGTCAACTCTACATTCGGTGTTTCCAGCCCACACCGCGTGCCGGTGTTTAATGGACTTCCAGGATATTTTCTGGCAGTTCGGCGATCGCTGACAAAGATTCAGACTTACCATAACAAGCTTTGAGTTGATGTGTGTGTTTGCTTGGAAGACTAGGCGTTTTCGGACGCAATATTTTAGCTTCATTAGCCATTAAAGACAAGAGCTTATCTCTGCACGGAGAAGAGTGTCGTGAGGAATCATTTTGAGGGCAATATGCGACTAGTTCAACAAAACTCTGTGCAAATCGCAACGGCTTATTATCATACCAGGAGCGTGGTGAACAGGAAGGTGTACATAGTGGTGAACCCAGGTGCCCATTGCTGATTAAGGGTACTGCTAGCTGGCGGTAGCTCTGATTGCCCAGTTACACCTGCTCGGGCCGCAACGGAGTGGCTTTCCAACACACTCTGAATTTCAGATCCGGATAACCGTCAAGGAAGCACGCGGTCTGCTGTGGCTGCTTCCTCGCGGCAGATCCGGATAACCGTCACGGAAGAACGCGGTCTGCTGTGGCTGCTTCCTCACGGCAGATTGCGTTTAAAACTATCAGGGACAGACAGCTCCAAGTAAGCGCGCCATATCTACATTAGCATTCTCTTCTCAGCATGGCTCACAATATCAGGAAGCTGTGAGCAATATCATTAAATGGTGTGTTAAGGTCTAGATGTTGTTGTTTGGGAAACCAAACCCGCAAACCCGGCCACACCTGCACTTGCAATGTCCGCCTCCTGATATCGAACTTGCGACAGTTCTGCTGGTTTTCAGGTCATGCATTTTTGGGATAAACCATGAAAGTTCGTCTGGGACACCATACGCAGATCACATTCCGAGTTCGGAGAGCTCAAAGGTCCGTCACGAACTGGGACGGGACCAGTTTGTCCCAGCTTATTCGTTCGGAACGAATAAGCTGGGACAAAGACTGCAACTGATGTTACCTGTGCTTGAAGTTGAAGATCTTTGGGCTGACGTCGTCCTCATAGTTGACCGCCTGGTACTCGCAAACATTGGGCCTGGAACAAGCGGACACATTTTTAACTTTTTTCAAGCGGAGCATATTTTCGTAAATGTTATGCCAAAATCGATCTGAGTCCGGTTATCTGATGTCTTGTAGTCTACCTGGCTGCTTTTGCGGTAAGGTTTAAAATTACTGCACGGCGTGAGCTATTTCTGACACGTCCTGTTTTCGAAACTACAGAAAAGAACACGTTTCGGAGGGGAAAAGGTGATGCATAGATGACGCTTATGTCACGTGCTCTGCGTATCTCAACGCCGCATTTATTCAAACATGAATCTGCTCAACCTTGCAGAGGATTGCAAAATGCACGATAATCTATTTTGTGTCATTTTCTGTGTTTGGGCGCCCTGCGTTGAGTGAATTACACCTATCGCCCAGGTAGCGCTAACTTACTATGTGCTTAATCATACCCGTCGTAGTAGCAGATAATGATAGTATCAGATGTTGCTAAAAGTTATGTACTTCCCAGAAAACTTAAAATATACCAATAGTGTTGCTAGGTGCGTTGGGTATTACACATATAGCTTGTTTAGTCTCATGCTTCGGTTTTTCAGTGCTACAACGGCTTACAACCGGTTTGAACAGCATGACATTTTTTTAACAAGACTACAATCAATAATGCTATGACATCGTTGAATGCTACGACAGAACTAAATTTTGGTTTAGATAAATGTACATTTATTGGATAAACAGCTTAATGAGTAACTTAAAATTGACGAATATAAACTCCATCTAAATATCGGCTGGGTATGAAAAATAGCCGTGGCAGCACACAGCTTGAATATCCGTCGTTAATTATCATATGCATCCAAGAAACCTTTCAGGGATGGCCTCTAAATGATGCAAGCAACTCATATCTACAAAAGGTGTTAAGATTCACGATGCCGAAACTTCATCAAGTTTTTAATCGTCAGCTTTAATGTAGTGCGCGTACTATATAATGTATTTAACGCAAATGTGGCCGAAAAACCCCGGAGACAAGCATAATCACCACGTGAAAATAGAACTAGAGAAGAAGAGCACGGACAAAATTTACATACCGTACCAACTAAGCACTTGAACACGCTATGACAAGCCAACATTCTATCATAAGCTGCCCACTTTATCTGAAAAACCACATTCCGATTCGTTCATTCTTCACGAAGCATGCATGCCACGGATAAGCGTGGTGGGAGAATCACAGACATATATCCTTCCGTGTTGGTGATGTGCTTTAAGAAAATGAACAGGTGGGTTTTCGTGCCCACGTAACAAAACTTGACCCATTTACAATAGCAAACTGAAGAAACCAGCAGTTGACACAGAAGCAACAGCATCAACAATACGACTTGGAATTGTGCCCTTCAATTTGCATCGATGCATTTTGCATCCCATATGTGCCAATGCCAATATGCCAAATGCCAAATGCCAATACATCTCTACATTTTGAGGAAATGGCAGCCGGAAACTTAAGAAGTGCTCCCAGTTGCTCTCAAGTGTTTCCAACACTTTTGAAGTACACGTCTTTGAAACTTAACGTTCTTTCGACATCCCCACGCCATCGACAATGCACGTGCTTTGGTGATTCGCTTAGCGTTCACCACAAAATTTCCAAGCAGCGCCAGTGAAAATCAGCAGCAGCCAACACATTTTAAATTAAACAATCGCGATGATACAGTACCCAATGCATAGCGTAAATCCGGGGTGGTTTTAAATCCGTTTCATTCACACATAGTCTCTTGTATTTTGATCTTAACCAAAGTGAAAAATGAACCAACACAGGACATTGCATTCCACCTAGTCGGCAAGACTGCGTTCGTATGTTTAATATATTCTATTTAAGTGCATTTTATATTCATTCAAGCTACTCACCACATGTGAATAAATAATTGCGCTATGTCCTGCAAGTAAACAAATAGGCGTGAACTAAAAGACAAAGTGCCGTGCCGTTGCTGTGGTAGACGTTTTCCATCTCTACCTGTCTCGTCCGCAACCTTCCCATCTCCACCGGTCTCGTCCGCAACCTTTCCATCTCCACCAGCCTAGTCCGTAACCTTTCCATCTCCACTGGTCTCGTCCGCAACCTTCCCATCTCCACCAGTCTCGTCCGCAACCTTTCCATCTCCACCGGCCTAGTCCGCAACCTTTCCATCTCCACTGGTCTCGTTCGCAGCCTTTCCATCTCCACCGGTCTCGTCCGCAACCTTTCCATCTCCACCGGTTTCGTCCACAACCTTTCCATCTCCACCGGCCTCGTCCGTAGCCTTTGCTCCAGGGATACCGACTGGCTGAATTAAAGCTTGAGCGGGGGCTAAAAGGTTCCGTTAGTTGCAACTTGTTAGTTGTCACTGTTGTCACTTTAAGTGCACATCAGTTGTCACTGATCCCAACCATTTCTGTCTTCTAGTGGCAGTTCCCAATGTTTAGATTCAAAGTTGTTTCATCGGAAGAGGGGGTAAAAATCTCGCCTGTCACCGGCAAAACAATTATGCAGAGCTAGATTTTCAACATGATCAGAAAACCGCGAGATGCTTCCATCTCTAAAAAAGAGCACATTCCAGGATTGTTGCCCATTTGTTGCAGGCGGTTGCCCGTCGTAAAATGCATAACATGCCTCAGTCATGAAGGCCGATTTCATTTCTTTAATCCATGGATGAACACTAAAACCGAGGAGTGGACAACCATCTCAAGACTGAGGAATGAAGAACCAAGCGCTAACCCCGAGTTTCGATTAAAATGTAGCATCAGCGCTGTGACGTCATGACAAATATACGATTAAAAGATGATCTTGCCCACAATTCGGTGGGTGGAGTGGAATCGCATCTGAGTCACCACGCATCACCTGAAGTGATCACTTATAGTGGCCTTGACTGGGTTCCTCCTCCCACGTAATAGCATCTTCACATGGTACATGATGACATAAGTACATTGTTCGGACAAAATCCAAGGGAATAGAGGGAGGCAAGAGACAGTCCCATCATACAAACGTGGGTGAAATACGAAAAAAACATTGTTCACAAGTTCCTGTGCTTCTGATATTTTTTACGCGCTCAGAAAGTGGCCTTGTGGTTCGTGAGACTTTGCACTGTGGAGTATGGGAGCGCAAACTCCGCTGGGCCGGCTCTTGTCCAAGTTGATAAGCCCAGGCTAGCTCAAAATGCTGTCTTTTCGGCGGATTTGGGTCAGTTTATGTTATGACTTAGAACAATCTAAACATAGTCCTACAATTTGGATCGCCTTTTGTTCCATGGCTTGGTGTGTTAGTTGAAGAGCTCTCTGCCAAATTGGGAGAGGGGGGAATCAAGTTTTAGGGTCCCGACGCTTCCCCCCTCCCCCCCCCCCGCACTGCTCGAACGATTACAACCCTCGAATTTTTCTCCATCCTCTTTGGTCAGAGCAAAATGTCCTTATTTTGAAACTTGTGACCACCACAATTGTAAGTGACTAAGTAGGCTTCGCACATATTTCGGAGCATTTGGATACAAATTTAAAATGCTTATGCGAGAGCATAGCGGACATACATCAGTCAGCGCGTGCATCCGACAATGTGCAATAGCAACATTCGTAACTACTTATATTACAAGGAAAACGATAGTTTTATTTTTGGCAATTTTTTCCTGACACCAGTCCTGCAGGCAAATGTTGTGCGTATTTATTTTATTTACTGCTGTAGCACAAAGTCAGGAGGTGTTTGTAGCCACTTACTAGACGATACAACAAACAAATATTTAGCTTCCAGTGGAGGGCTGGCAGAACAACATGGCGGCTGCATTCAGCTCTTTGCTAGCTGCTATAAAAATGGTCTTAGTTATGTGAGCTCCTGTCTGAGGGAATCTCATAAAAATCGTAAATGTATAACTTCTGAATGCCAACCGTGTCATCGCTGTCGCTGCCTTACGCCAGTTGTGGTGCTGATAATCCGGCAAAGGAACCCTCAAAGCGTGCTTTGGAAGGCTGTTCTGGCTGAGAAAACCTCTTCATAAAAATGACTCAATTGAAAATTGCAAAGACTGATAACATCAGAGGCAAATTCGCAGGGTTGGTCACAGTGACTCCATATACATGTATTGCATATATTTCATTTTATTTTCGTAAAGTAATGCCAACGATGCATACTCAAAGAATCTTTAAGATGATTTGGCACACGCCCCTGCAAGATTTCTGACCTTTGCACTCTATTACGCTATTGCCGCCGTTGCGCTGGTTAACTTTCATGAGTCAGGCATGGCCATTGGCTAAGCGCCAAAACAGCCGTCCAGACAAAAGCGCCACCTATATACGTATATGGTTTCAGCATCCCTCGGCAGATGCCGCACTGGCGATACCGACCCACGGCCACGGAGCAAAGCCAGACCTTTGCCCTCATATCGATGTGGTGCTGCCGGGAAGTTGCCACGCCTATGCTGTCCAATTCTCTTACGTTTTCAACTCACGATTCTGCCATAAGCTACCCAGAGAAGCTTGCAGCAGCTTAGGTATCTTAGATGGAGCTCTGAGAACCTTCCTGTAAATACGTTCAGATATTTGCAGAACAATGTGCTGGTGCAGACGGGAAGATGTGAGGTTCATAGAACTGCAACCATGGTGCCTTCATTAAAGATCCCGAGGCTTCACCGAGCATAAGCCGCGCCGCACAGCGTGGGTCGATCTGTGCGTCTATACGCCAGTGTCCTGCGCGCGGGCAGTGCTTGAGCCGGGGCAGCTTGATATATTTCTCTCCGCAGACAAGCTGCCTCAACAGCCCTGCGTGGTGATGTGTGCAAGGATGGAGGATATGGCATTAATAGCACAGGAAGGCGGACGGGATTGGGAGGAGGGCAGGCAGGTCGAGGAGCATGAGGCTGTTAAGGCCGTAAGAGGTTGGTGGGTGTGTCAGATCACACAAACCTCGCTCAGGTCTCACCAGGCCTTCAACTTGACTGACTCTGGCTCTGGCTCTAGCTCTGGCCCTGGCCCTGGCTCTAGCTCTGGTTCTAGAAGAGGAAGCTCTGAACCCTGTTTCACCGGACCAATGCATTAAACTGCCGAATTTTCCATATTTTTCTTTACCCCATATTTGCTACTTCTCAGTAGACCTGAGAGAGAGTTCGAGCCCTGGCCTTGATAATGAAATGCGATCTTGATCGCTAGGCAGTATTGCTATTCCTTTCCAAGACAAGCCGAAGGCACGCATGCGGCATCGTTGGACTGAGACCAATATCGATGAGAAATGCATTTGTAGCGCATTGGCCATGTGAGATATTGCTGATATTGCAGTCGCGCTCTCTCCCCTCCCCCCCCCCCCCCTACCACATGTCCACGTCTGCTATTGGCGTTCAGGGGTGTGTCAGATCACGAGGGCACGCTTCGATAACCGATGAGCCAGCGGCCGCTGGGAGTGTGCACGCTCCATCACTGCCTGCAGTCAGCTGCCCTCCGACCGCCAGTCAGCCGACGACGACGGCCTAAACGACGGCAGTCAGCTGCCCTCCGACCGCCAAACAGTCAGCCGACGACGACGGCCTAAACGACGGCAGTCAGCTGCCCTCCGATGACCAAACAGTCAGCCGACGACGACGGCCTAAACGACGGCAGTCAGCTGCCCACCGACGGCCAAACAGTCAGCCGACGACGACGGCCTAACCGACGGCAGTCAGCTGCCCTCCGACGACCAAACAGTCAGCCGACGACGGCCTAAACGACGGCAGTCATCTGCCTTCTGACGACCAAACAGTCAGCCGACGATGACGGCCTAAACGACGGCAGTCAGCTGCCCTCCGACGACCAAACAGTCAGCCGACGACGACGGCCTAACCGACGGCAGTCAGCTGCCCTCCGACGACCAAACAGTCAGCCGACGACGGCCTAAACGACGGCAGTCAGCTGCCCTCCGACGACCAAACAGTCAGCCGACGACGGCCTAAACGACGGCAGTCAGCTGTCC